GGGTGAAGCATCTCCTGCAAGGGTTAGAGATGCAAAACAGACTCATTATGGACACGTCCCACCAGTGGGACTCATCAAGGGGACAAAACAGCACCACAGAGACCACAATTAACCAAGAAAAGGCATCGAATATCTGCCCCTACCTTGAAAATCGAAGCATCCACCTCCTGGTTGTAGTCCTGCTTCCCAGCGTGCTTCCAGGGGATGCGGAACATGGATTTCTCCTCATTCTCCCAGATGAGCCCGGGGTACATCTCGCTGTCGATCTGCTCGATCAGCCACTGCCGGAGCCGCCGGCCGCCGTTCCGGTCACACATCCTGGATGGGGGGAGAGGTCCAAGCCCTGTTAGCTCTCCCAGGACCATCCCACCACAGCTGGAGCACAGGGATCAGGCTGGTTTGCCCCGTGCACAGCTGGCAGTGGCACTGCCTGCAGGGTCAAGAAGCTTCTGGCATCTTTGAGAGTCCCACGTGCCAATGTCTGCCCATGGCAAGGGGTTGGAATGAAGTGATCTTTAAGGTCCCTTCCAACCCAAACCGTTCTGGGATTCCACTATTCTATAATTCTGTGACTAAAATACCCACCGCTGCTTCTTTCACAATGACAAAAATCAAGAAAATTTCCTCTGAATTGCTACAAATTCTTTCTCCAGCTCTATCGAAGCTCTGCTCACACAACCAGCTGACTTGGTGCTCTGCTTACTCCTATTTTGCTGGGGGATAAGTCACGTAGGAAGCAGATGGATGGGGATTAAAGCACCTGAGCAAGTGACAGCAGACAGGATGTTCCATGGCAGACACCCATTAGTGATGGGTCTTAAAGCTGTCCCTGGTCTTGGCACAAGGATCTGCCCCAGAGGAGAAGCAGGCACTGCCTATTTGGGGAGCAGGTGCTGATTCCAAGCAGCATTCCAAGTCACCACAGGCATGGGGAACACACAGCCAACCTTTGGAACAGAGGGACAATGCCAGGATGGAGGAGGGTAAGGCCAAATCACCCTTGCTGGGGACCTCAGGTCATTTTTAGCCAAAATCACTGGGTGACTTCATGAAGGACCCATGAGAAAGCTTCTCCCACCCAGCTGGAAGCAAAGTTCCAGGCTCAACCCTCCCTGCACCCCCAGTCACCTCCACGCCATGACCTGCAGGAGCTGGTGGCCTGGCAGAAGTGACCAGCAGCCCCAGGATCAGCTCTCAAAGCATTTTGGGCTCACAGCCCTCCTGCAAATTTTACAGGACTGCCTCTCTCTCATTCGTTATTTACTTCTCCATTGGAAGATTTGGGAAGAAAATAAGCTGTTCCCAGCACAGCCTGAGACACAGCAGCTCCTATGGGCTCCCACCAGCTCTGTGCCACCAACTTCTGCCCAGCAGGACACAGTGATGCCCTCGGCCATCCACAGCACAAACTCTGCTTTTAGAGATCGTGAGAACAGCCAAAACACCACCGAGGGCACAGCTCTGGATCCCAGCTGAATGTTCCAAAGGACACAACACAGATCATCCCTGGAGGGATGGGGGTACACAGAGCCTCTCTGGGGGCTCCTGCACCAAACCTGTCACACCAAGAACCGCAAAAAATCCTGCTGAAATGGGACTCTAAGTTACCTCATTTTCTAGAAAGCTTCTCCTCGTCACTGCCAGAGGCCGGAGCTCCATCTCCGCTCCCCTGGAGGCTCAACAAGTCCCCCAGGCTGCCACCACCCACGCGAGCCAACACACACAGGACATGGGCAAGGAGACCTCCCCACCTCCCTACTCCAGGGCACCGGCCGCCAGAGGCAGCCCCGGACCATCCCCCTGCGGTCCAGCACCGCAGCTCCAGCTCACCCATCCCGGGCTGCGCCCCGGGGCAACGGGGGCAGCGCTTCCCGCGACCCGCAGTGGACCACAAACACCGGGCGGCGTTCGTCCCTCATCACCACGGTCTCGAAAACCCCCTGTCCTTTCCCGCAGCCCAGAGGCGTGCGGACAGTCGGGTTGGGGGTCGGTGCGGGTCCCTGCCCTCCCGCCGCTCGGTGCCGATACCTGCCCAGCGCCGCTCCCGTCCCGCTCCCGGTGCCGCACCCGCGCCCCGCGCCGCCCCCGCCTTATATAGGGGCCGCCGGGGAGGGGCCGGCATCGAACCCGCCCTCGAGCGGCTCCGCCAATGGGAGGCCGCCTCCCCGACACGACCCCGACCAATGGGGAGCCGCCCGGCGGGGCGCGCGCGACCCGCGCCGCTTTCTCTGAAGCGCGCGGCCTTCCCCGAAATCAGCTGACCTCGGGGGGCGGGGCCTCGTGGGAGGGGGCGGGGTCTAGCGGCAGGGGGCGGGGCGGGGGCGGGGCGGGGTGACCCGCCCATGTCCCGGGTCAGCCTCGGGCCGGTTCGTCTCCGGTGCTGACCCGCACCGGGCTGAGCTCAGCCTCGCAAAGGTCGGTCCCTCCCCAGCCCCAGACCAGCCTTCCCTGTCTCAGATTATTCCACCCCCAGTTCCAAACCAGTTTCCCCAGTTCCAGACCAGTCTCTTCCCAGTCCCAGATCAGTCCGTCCCCAGTCTCAGATCAATATCCCCGTCCCAGATCAGTTCATCCTCAGCCCCAGATCAACCTTCCCCATTTTCAGACCAGTCTCCCCAGTCCCAGATCAATCCAGTCCCATCCAGCCTCCCCAGTCCCAGACCAGCCTCCCCAGTCCCACATCAGTTTCCCTAGTCCCAGATTGGTCCCTCCCCAGTCGCAGACCAATCTCTTCTATCCCAAATCGGTCCATCCCCACTTCCAGCTCAGTCATGCCTCATTACCAGATTGTTCCATCCCCAGTCCCAGACCACTCTCTTCAGTCTCAGATTCATCCCTCACCTGTTTCCAACCAGTCTCCCCAGTTTCCAGCTGGTCTCCCCAGTCATAGATCAGCCCATTCCCAGTCCCAAATTGGTCCCTCCCCAGCCCCAGACCAATCTTCCCCATCCCAGATTGGTCCATCCCCCGCCCCCGGTCAGTCTTCTGATTCCAGTTCAATCCATTCCCTGGCAGCTTCCAGTTCCATCCTGGATCAATCCACAGTCCTGGCTCAGTCTCTCTCTCCCTGTCCTGGCCATTCCCACTGTTCCCCAGCCAGACTCAGTGCCCTGGCCGTGCCCAGCTCCCCCAGCCCAGCCTGGCCATGCCCAGCCAGGGCCCCTGGCCATAGCAGAGCATAAAGGACCATCTTCAGCCTGACTTCAGAGGGGGTTTTTTTCGGGATTACCAGATTATACTCAGATTTCTTGGAAGAAAACCATAATTACTCCCATGTGGGTAATACAGAGAAATGGGAAATGTATGGAGCTGCACAGATGGTTTAGTAAAAGTAAAGATCCAAGGTGCACAACCTTTCCTGTCATTTCTAATAAAGAACGGCTGTAACAATCCTTGTTTTTAAACACCCAACTGATCCTCATCAGATTCTTACCCACGAGATTTGGGGAGAGCCAAAAATATCTTTTACAACCAGATACAATCAGGAGGATTAATTCTCTGTTTTGACCAAAAAAAAAGTTAAGCTTGTTTGCAGAGGGTTTGTATCACTGTCCCTCACAACACCAATCCTGCCTCCTCATGCCAGATGGAGACACCCCTGCAAAAAACTGTTTATTTTGTAAAAGTTCTGGCAAATTCAGGATATTTTAAAGAGTGTTCATATAATCAAGCCTCTCCATCCCATCTGAAGACCAAAGACCTGGAGACTGATTGCAATGGAGTGGGGTAACCCCATCACTTCCAGTTTCATTTTGGCTCTTCCACTTCATAGGCAGCCTGGAAAGGCAAAATCTAAATTCCTTGGAGTGAGGATAAAATAATAACTCCTTTAAAATGGGTTTTCAGGCACTTAGTTTAGGCTGGGAGTGAGATGCCCCACAGCCTTGCCCGTGGCTGGCACAAGAACATGTGGATGCCTAGGGGGAGCAGCAGAGCCGGGAATTTCTCGCGAGCTATTTCCCCGTGTGTGAACCACACCCTGGGAAGCTCATTCACGCTTCAGTGGAGTGATTTTCCTTGAGCCAGAGGCACCAGGCTTCTGGGAAAGCTGATGTGGCACAGGAGAGCTGAACAGCCAAGTGTGCAGTGCTCTTTGCAGTGCAGAAAGGAGTGGAAATCAGCCCGGTTTTACCTGCCCCAGGGCTTGCATTCCAGATCCCAGAAAGCCTAAAGCCACCACAGGTCCCACTGATGTGGGCCAGAGTGGAAAAACATGTATATTCGCCCGGGTCACTCCACAGATTTGGGGGAAATCGGGTTTAGATGCTGTTTGGGCACAGTTGTTGCTGCGATGCCAGGCATAGGGGATGCTGCAGTTTACAGGGAGTATCCCTTGTGATTCCCCAAATCTGGGGGATTTTTCCAAGTTTTGCTTTGGTGCCAGAGTTTTTTGGGGAATGTTTGAATCCTGGGATGGGCAGTTGTGGGACAGGAAGGACATGGCCATCCAGGCTGGAGCAGGAACAGCACAGACAGCACTCTGTGAGGTTATCACACCTACTGCAGACCTAATCTCTGTTATCACCCATCTCCAATGACTTCCTATTAACACCAGAAACCCACTTTCTTCTCTTTTTTCTTCCTGTGTGCAAGTTCCATTTTTCTGCTTCCTGAAATGATAACAGAGGCTCTAAATCCAGTATTGATCCAGTTTGATCAACCTCCCTTCAGTCCACTCCATCAATAGCATTTATGGGCTTTGATCTCATTAATTGCTTTCCCACACAGAGCAAGCTGCAGGCACAAACCATGGCATTACTTCCATGTGGAATAACAGCCACAGGGACCCTTTTCTCCACTGAAAAAGGTGTGAAAAGCCTCCATATTTTTTTTTTCCCCAGAATTTTATACATAATGGCTAAACACTGAGTCTCTAAAACTTTGAATTTTGCTGGTGGTTCTCATCAAGAAAATGGGAAACAGGACACAGCAGCAGAGCGCTCATGTCAGTCCATCTCTCTATTCCCACTAGGAATACCACAAATCAAGTCCAGCCATACTCATGGTTTTAATCATTCTTCTCTTTATTAGGATTTGGGTGAGTCACCTCTGATGCTGTTACACTTCGAGTACCCAGAAGTTTTCATTAAGAGAATTCCTAGAAATATTTTTAATGCCTTTTTTCTCAGAAGGAATTTCAGAACAGATATTTTTGAGAAGCCAAACAAGGTATTTATAGTAAAATGCCAAAGTGGTATGGAAGGCTTGAAGGTTTCCATGTGGAAGGGCTGAATCAATGGTATGAGATCCCTTCCTTGTAGGACAGATAGGAGGAGTCCTGCCAATGAAAGTCCTGGAAATGAGTCTGGGATGAAAAGCAGGACATGGTCATGATCTTTTGATATTAAAAATGCTGTAGGAAAGGGACAGCATTAAACTGGTCCATGGGTTGACTGAGTCCAACCAAGCAGTTGGCTTCTTTTGCAAACAGGGACATTCAGATCAGGCTCAGGGAAAACCCAAAACCTCTCTGGCTCTGGGGATGGAAGCAGTGGGACAGGCAGCCTCCAGCGCTGTTGGATTTCCCCACTCCCTGGGGGTGGGTTAAGAAAAATGCCAGATAGATGTTGGCCAAGGACAGGCTAGACCAGGAAAGTCCAAGAACATCGAGGGGCATCTGCAGCCCCCGGAGCCCCCAGCCCCTCTCCCCACCCCTCTGGGTGCCAGACAGGGCTAAGCAGCATCTCCACACTCAGGATTCATCCCTCCCTCCTCAGGGCAAGCTGCATTGGCCCCAGTGTCACTGCAAAGCAGAGAACAAGGTGGCCTCTCTCCATCTCATCCCACCGTGGCTTTCCAATGTCTGCATCATCATTCCTATGCCCTGCCAGAGAAGCAGCCAGGTATCCAGGTGTCAGAGAGAGGGACAGGGCTGGCTGCTGCTCTGAGGATGGAAAGTGGCCATGATCCATTGGGAATGGAGGAACAGGGCAGAGCAAGACACTGTCACCAATTAACTGGTTTGCCCAGGGGTACACACTAAACTGGCAGCCAAGAGGGTGGTCTGCAAGTCCTGTCCCTCCAGCTCCAGCCCCGGAGCCCATGGCCGGTGCTGGCAGCTTTCTGCCCCAGACAGGAACCCCCAGAGGTGCTTGGCAAAGGGAAGTGAGTTTTCTGAGCCCCAAGGCCAATGCCTGCCCAAGAGCAGCTGCTTATCTGTTCATCCATCTGCTGCCGCCAGTGCCACCGGTGTGGCAGGGAGGTGGGTAGGTGGGAGCTGCAGAGCGGAACCAGGAGCTCCCCAGCTGCTGCTCCTTCTGCTCCTGCTTCTGCTGGCCCAGCAAGCGCTGCAGCTCCTCCTGGTCCTGGAATGGGTTCCTGCCATAGTCACGGCGGATCCAGGCACGATACTGCGAGGAAAAAGCCAAAACAGGTTGTCAGGGTCACCAGGGTCTGAGACATCCCCAGGTAGGGAGCAGGACTGCAACAGCTCCAGTGGAAAGCAGCAAGAGCCAACCAATGCCTGCTGCATCCCAGCCCCCCACAGCGAGGGCAAGGGGATTCCCAGCCACATCCAGCATGCAGGAAAATCCCAGTTTCACAGGAGTTCACACACATCATACCACAGATGCAGTGACTCCCCACATCTGAGCACTCCCCACACACCCAGCCTGGCATGGACAGGCCTGGAGGCCTGGCAGCATCCTTAGGTTCCCATACCAGCTGCAGCCGGGACAGCAGCTTTGTTTGTTTCTCATTGCCAAGAAGCCGCTGCTGTGCCTGAATTCCTGTAAGGAAAGCTTCCCACCTCTTTCACAAGGACAAGCCGGACTTGCTGCCACAACTAGCACAGCCAAGTTGGCTCTTGCAAGGTGAGGCAAGTTTGTTGTCAGAGCATCTTCCTCAGCAGTGGGAGCCTGTGGGGCACCTCTCCTCCCCCCTCCTCACTGCAGCCAGACTGCTCCGGCGGCAGGAGCTTCCTGGTGGCCAGGGGCCAGCTGGCAGCAGGCTGAGGCCTGGAGGTGGTTGAGAAGCAGGAGATGGTCCATAGAAATGCTTCCCACTAGTGCTGAATGAGAAACAGGCAGACAGCCCCAGATGGCAGCATCCAAGAGAGTGGGCAGGAATGGGCAGCTCTGCCAGGACCTGCCATGCTGGCTGTCCAGTGCTCACAGGGCACAGGCAGGGCTTTGTCTTCTCCCTGAGTAGCTGGGAACCAGCTGCTCTAGCAAGGACTTACTGGGATGACTGGTAGAAGCAGGCCCAGCAACACCAAACACCTTAAGAAAAGGATGGAAGGACCTGCAGGTGCAAAGGGGGCAGAGAGGGACAGAGCATTGGAGCATCGGAGCCATGCAATGGAGCAGCACAGGGACAGGCATGGGGTGCAGCCAGGGGAACCAGAGGGACAGGAAGGCAGCCTCCATGAGCTGCTCAGCCTTGGAACCCCCAGGGAAAGGTGCCCTTGCTGTGGCTCCGGCTCCTTGGAGCCACTGAGCTCACAGCAAAGATTTGGGATGCAGGACAGCAGAACTGGTCGCTCAGTCCCGTCCTGTCAGGGCTGGATGAATCACTACTGAAGAAAGTCTCAGACTGACCCTGGTGGCATCCCCCTCTCCTGCAGTGAGGGAAAGTCAGCTCAGGCAGAGGGGATTTCCACTGGGAATGTCTGAATTTCCCAAATCCATTCCCTCAGACAGTGGGACTCATCACAGATGTTACTCACTTGCCACTTGCAAGCAGAAAGACCTTGAGAGCCAGACCTGTATTCCATGCTAGAAAAGAACCACTGGGAAGTGAGTCCTGAAGGATTTGGGACAGGATTTGGAGCAAGCAACCATGCCAGATACTCATGGGGGAAACATCCTTCCCATGCAAACCATCCAGAGGGATGAAGCTCCACAGGAAGTCCAGCCTGGCCTCAGAGGCTTGGCACCCACCAAGGCTCAGCACCCAACACCCAGGCTGGAAGCTGACTCCCACCATACAGTGAGGAGGGAAGGAGCAGGCAGGAGGCCAGGGAAGCACCCTGCTGCTGCTGCTGCTCCCAGGGACTTCCTTTTAAAGCCAGAGCAAGAAGTGGTTACAGCCCATTTCCTCCAGCACTGACCACTAATCCACTGCCCTCCTCCTCCTCTCTCCCAGCACCAGAAGCACCCAGCCCATCTGGGATGGCACTAGAGGGGAAAAGGCAGCCTGGCCATAGTGTGCCAGCATCACAGGGGAGCAGATCCACCACCAGGATGCCCATCTCTGCCCTCTCTCACATCCACACTGTCTTCTCTGAGCTCACTGACTTCCTTTTCTAACCTTACCCCTCAGCCTGCTGCTGCACTTGGTCCCTTCCTTCCTTCTTTATCCATCTAGCCCAGATAAGCACCATTTGCCATCTTGAAACCACAGCTGCACGCTCAAGGCGTCCTTCCTGCAGCAAGGAGCCAGATGGACAGTCCCAGGGAGCATCTTCCCCATTCCAGCCTCCCAGGGTCCCGTCTGAGGTCCTTGCAATGAAGGAAACTGAGGCACCACAGCCCCAGGAGGTGCCCAGGAGGATGGACCTGCTCCTCACAGGTTTTAACCAACAAGGGATGAGGCTTTTCCCCTTAAACAGTTTGGCCAGCCCTTATCCAAGTCTGTTCCTATATACTGTGCTTCCAAACTGCTGCTTGCTGGAATGACAGCTGGGCTAAATGGGGAAATTAAACCCCTGAGGCTCAGGTCATGATACCCTCAGTCCTGCATTCTAATGATACACACAGAAAACCACTCCAAAGCCACCAACAGGAACAATGTGCCACCTCCCACAGCCAAGGTAAGTGAGGCAGCTGCTGCTTGGCATGAAGCACAGCACGGAACCCACATGGCATGGATCCCGGGGACACGGTGCCTACAGCACCCACCACCCTGGGAGACCCCCAGCCATCCTCCGCGGCTGATCTGTCTGTCAATCCCTTCCTCTGGCAAAGGGGAGAGCTGGGAGCAGCGCGCTGCCAGTCAGGCTGGAGCATCCATCCGGCTCTTCCCCTCCTCCAAATGCAGCTGTGGGTGAGTAATGCCGGAGCCCTCCCCGCTCGCAGCCTTTGCCCCCGGGGCCGTGCTGGCAGGAGTCCGCTCAAGAGGCCCATTCCCTCCCCGTTGCTGCCAGCGCGGGGAACACACGGGACTTCAAGGAAAAGGCAGCTTTTTTTAAATCCCACGCTCAGGAAAACACATCCAAGCACCTCCACCCTTGGCACTGCCTTGGGTATTTCAGGGAAATGCTTGCAAAGCCACTGTCAAAATTTTGAAGTGACGGCAAGGCAGCTTCTAAGGGTAAGGGAGGAAAGCCTGGTGCCTGTTGAACCCAGTCTGGATTTTGGGGAGAAAGAGGAATAACTGGGATGGAGAGAGGGCAGAACAAACCCCACATCACAATCTGTGTTAGGACGTGGCCAGAACGTGGGAAAGGCTGGAGAGAGCTGGCCTGGCCAGGGGAAGCCCCGCAGGGAATCTCCAGCACCACGGGTGTTTTGTAATCCCTTGGAGCATTTTCCATCCTCGTCTGCGGGCATTTTTGCAAGCTGGTGATAACGGGGCAGAGCCACATCCCTCATGTGACAGCGCCCGCCCACTACCGCCGGCACCCAGGGAAGGGAACTTGGTGCTGAGGAAGGGGCTGAACTTCGGGCCAGTGTCACATGCTGGCCCTGTCTCTGTCCTGGGAGGAGAGAAGTCCCCTTGAAGGGTTCGACATGGCTGGAGGGACCACCAGGTCCCCTCTGCCATGTGCCATGGGGCCATTGCACAATGCTTATGGCTGGAGTGCATGGATGGGGGGGGCTTTGCCTCCAGGGATGGGACCAGGTTTAGGGGTGACCTGGGCTGTGAGAGGCCTTGTACACATCGAGTTGAGGGTTACTTTTTCCTTGCAGAGGTCCATCTGTGTCCCATGTGCAGTTTGGGACCCCTATCCTTGTCTGCAGACCCCAGTGCTGGGTGAAGGAGCAAGGTCCAATGTGGGAGGCTGGAGGAGAGCCTGGTGGGAGCTGGGCTTTTAAAGGCCTTCCCCTTTGCTTTTGAGAGTTTTCCAGTTCCAAAGTGCAGCTCTGATCTCTGCTCTCCCAGTTAAATGTGCCACTGTCACTCCCAGCTTCCGGCAGCCAGCTTGGCTCAGCTACATCATCCCTCCCTTGCACAGGATGGGAATCCAGCCAGCCAGAGCTTTTGCTCTCCTAAAACCTACTGCTCCACGTCATTCTGGGGAGGAAAGAGGAGATTTCTCCACCCACACTTGCTCCTGCCTGTCCCTGCCCCTAAAAGCAGAGGACTTGCTGTCAGAGGAAGTCCTGCCAGATCCAAGCACGCCCAGACATCCCGACACTGTTTGCACGAACCTTCCTCCCTCTCCTCTCTCCCTTTCCGCCTCCAGCTCCCGCTGCACTGCATTCCTGGGAATCAGCCCAGCTCCTTCCTGAGGCTCCCAGGGGACAAGCTGCTCTCCCATCCCTCCCACTGTGTCCTAACTGAACTCTCGAGAAAATAACTGTGGTTTTAAGGTTTGAAAGAGCCTTAAGTGCACTCACATAATATCTAAACACTTCTTTTTTTTTTTTTAAATTTTCTCTTTTGCATGCAAACCCCCAAATCCCCAGGTAATAAATAACATCCCCAAAAGCCAGCTGGGGCAAACAGCTGGTCATGCAGAGAGCTGCATGCAAAAGAACCCTGCCTGGCTGCAAACTTCTCCACCACATATCTAAGTGGACATCGAGGCAGGACGTACCTCCTGTAGCAGGGTCCTCTCGTATTCCTGCAGCTGCTGCTGGAAGCCAGAGTTGGGGCTGACATAGGGTCTCACAGCCTTGGTGGCAGCCAGGCAGCTCTCCCAGCCCAGCTCTGTCACTGTCATCAGATAAGCCACCAGGATGGTGGTGCTGCGGGAGACCCCGGCCAGGCTGGCAGGGCAGGAGGGAGCAGCGTTATTCCCACCGTGGGGGTTGGTGTGGGACACCCACAGGATGCAGCTTCTCTTGGGCTGCTGGGGTGCTAGCAGGGTTCCCTGGGCGTGGATTGGGAAGGGGTAAGGAACTCTCTCCATCTCTCACCACAGTTGGTGGCTCCAAGCAAGTGGCACCACCTTGTCCCACCTCTTTTTGGATGCTCAGGTTGTCAGTGCATGGACCACCCGCCCCCGTAGGTCCAGGGAGACCTTCCCTTGTCACCCTCCCGCTGTTCCTTCTTCTCCTCTCCTCCCTCCCCACCACAATTAATGTTTGACGTCGAGGACACCTTTTGGGAGCCCATCCCCACCTCCCAGAGAATTGATGGGGCATGAGGAGGTTCCAGCAGCTCTCACCAATGGACAAGGCAGCCTCCCCCACCAAGCCGGCATTCGTGGATGAACTTGATGCTCTCCTTAAAATGCTGCAGCCTGCAAGGAGAGAGGCAGGAGGTGAGGAGGGGAGGGCTGTCCACCCCTGCCAGGCACCAGGACATCCTGGAAACTGCTGTTGCATTACTCCCAAGGAATTCCCACTGCCCTGGGGCTACCAGTGTGGGATGGGAGCAGAGATCCTTCCTCTGCCAGGTGAAGGCAAAGGGGATGATCTTCATCTGCTGGGAAGGAAATGACCTGAGAGATTTCCCAGGGGATTTCCTGCTTCCTGAGGAATCTAGGAAGGATGGTGATGCCATCAGACAAACCAGCTCAGGGAGAACCCCAGGGGGACATCCTCCAGGGAAAGGTGTCATCCTGTGAGTAAGGGACATGCACTCTCTCACATCAGCACTCATCCTGAGCCATCAGCCCACCCCTAATTCCCAAATGATGCCAAAAACTCTGTCTTCCCTCCAAGGGAAAGATGGAAAGATGCCAGCAGGGAGAAAGCAGGGAGAAGTGTGGTTCTGGAGGCATTTTGCCTGGAGGTCCCCTTTCCACCCATGCGAGGGCATGGAGAAGTGCCCATGCCAGGGAGGTAGGGCTGCCAGCAACAACACAGGCATGTTCATGGATTGGTGCCTGCATTCCCAAAAACATAACCAGCTACTGCTGGCAAGGCAGAGGGAGCACATTCACCCAAACCAGCAAAACAAGGCTCGGAGCCAGGGCTTTCTGATGGAGACCTGGAAAACAGGATAACTAACTCCATATGTACTGATGGGATAGAGGTGGGTGTGTGTGGAAGGGTTACACAGGCTCCTGTGAGACACATCCCCCCTGCTCATCACTGGATGGGATGCAGGAACTGTTGAGCTTCCAAGATCCCACGCTGAGCCAGGCATTCTTCTCCTTGGCACGTGTTTCCAACAAATGCTGTCCATCCCTGCTCACCCTCACAGCCACACTGGGCTCTGGGGCAGTTTTGAGGCAGAAAACCTAATTCTGTGTCATTTGTGCTTCTGGTGGCCTCCCTGAGAACACAGCCCTGGGTTTTCCAGGAGGAGAAGAGGGACCCTTTGGCAGCAGCACCTCTGCTCCGGCACCGGACTTCCTCTGCCTCCGCATGACAGGGTGGGCGTGTGCCTGCACAGCCTTCCTGATTTCTCCAAAGCCAGGGCATGAGCTACTGCAGTTATTCCCACTGTGCCCCTCCCCAAGGGAGCTGGTTTCCCCGTGGGGACAAGGCAGAACCCTCCAAAATCCCCTCCATCCATGCTCTTTGTCCTGCCCTGGAAGTGCTGGGCTCAGCTCCTTCTAAGAAACCAGCCAAGGATGAGTTTATTCAGGAACTGCAGTGGGTTCTGCTGCCCAGGAAAAGGAGAGATGGGGGAGTCTCTGAAATTGTGTTCATATTGAAAATATTGAGCCTCTCAACCCTGGAAGGAGATGTCTGCCTACTCCTTCTCATGATCTTCATCCTCCCCCACTGCAGCATCACCTTTTGGGGGGGGCTTTCGCTGCTTAAAGTTTGTCCCAGGGCATTTTATCTTGTCCTACTTATCTTTGCAAGCAGACAGCATCCCCCAGGGCCTGCAGGAGCTGCCCACACAGCTCCAGGCTCTCCAGATCCCAGTCCTCCTCTTCAGAACCTTGGTAGGACCAGCAGAGAGGCCCCTTCCTCGCAAACACATGATTCTGGTGCCTCCAGCCCACTCCATGCATGAAGCATCCTCTCCCAACCCATCCCACAGGGAGGGCAGTGAAAATTTCAGCCAGCCCATCAATCCTCACACACTCCACAAGGTGTTTTCCCCCAGGCAGCCAGCCACAGGAAAACTCCCCCTGTGCTTTTCCAGCCTTAAAGCATGGGATCGGACTCCTGAGCTCCTGAGTCACAAGCATCTCCTCTGCAGGACACAAGTTCACCGGGATTGTGAAATCCAAGGCATAAACTGACATGCAGAAAATAGTTCCTTGAACAAGTCTTCCTTCCGGCAGCCAGCCTTATCTCCTTTTTTTTTCCTTTTTTTTTTTTTTTTCCTTTTGTAGACATGCCAGAAATGCCAAGAAATGAGCAAAGACTAAAAAAAAATAACAACCCAAAAACCCAGTTCTTGCTGAGGCAGGGTTTTCTTGTAAAGCTTCTCTTTCCGCTCAGCAGGAGCATGAGCAAGCAGAATCCCACCCCCGGGCACGGCTGCTCCCAAGGATGCTGGAAAAACCAGCACCTTCACAAACAGGGCTCACTCTGGTCACTCTGCATCAAGTTTTGATGCTTTTTAGGATCTGATGCAACAGAAAAATCCCTTGGAGCGGCCCATTTGCTGGTTGAAATGGATGATTTGTGGGCATCTGTCACCCAAAGCAGCAGCAGGATGGTGCCTCCCCCCAGTACCAGCATCCCACAAAATCCTGGAGTTCCCTTCCAGCACCTCTCATCGGCTTCATCTCAAAAACATCATTGCAAGAGTTATAATTATCTGTGCTTTATATAGTGAAAAAACTGTTATTTTTAATAAACCCTTCCTTTAACTTTCCAAAGAAAATGAAAGACACAAAATCATTGTCTTTCTAACACTCCAATTTTCAACCCTGCACAATAGAATAATTCTGAAACTTAATGGAAAACTAAATTTACTGGCTGCAAACACACACAGAAACAGATTTGAAGTCCTAAAATACTATTTTCCCCCTGGGAATACACCCCAGCTTATCTGAAGCTCAGGAATGATACAGAATGTCACGGCACGAATGGACTAAACCTTCCTCCTGCAGCATCTGAACTTTTATTGACCAACAACTACCAGCACATGATCTGGGAGGCAAAAGGATGGGAAACAACTTACAGGTTTTGACTGGATGAATCTGAGGCCGAGATACACAGATAGGTCATGTCCTGCAATACAAAGATGGTCTCAGTAGTAAAATATCTCCAAGAAACATAAAATCCCCCATTCTTTTCTCTTCTCTCTCCCCAGCTGACCTTTGGGGAGGGGAAAGCTGAAAAGCACTTTTGGGTACCATCACTCAGCTCCACTCTGATGGGTGGGCGCATCTGTCCCATCCCAGGCTATTTCCTCCCATTTCATCCCAGAGGACAGGCTGTTGGTGGGCCACTATAATGCTCAGGAGCCCCCCAAAACAGAGCCAGCCCTTTCCCAGGGCCCTGAGCCCCACCAGGAAGACGTGTGTGAACACACACTGACGAAGCAGCTCTCATCAATGAGTTATTTCCTCCCTGTCCTTTTAATACACCATAAATCATTTGCCTCATGCTGGCCTAGGTCAGATCACTTTCCTCTCCTTAAAACATCGCTTCCTCGATCCTCCCTGTTCTGAGCTAAAATTAGATCCTTTTCATCTGAGGGGTTGGGGTTTTTCTTTTGTCCTTTCTTAGCTGAACGGGTAGAAATCCTGCAGCCAGAGCACCAGGGATTGCCCCATTTCCAGCAGGTCGCTGCTGAAAGGTGCTCCCTGGTTGATGCAGCCCAACCCCATGGACCACCCACCAGGCCAGGAATCAGGAGGCTGGAAAAAGTGGATTATTTAAGGAGGGGTAGAACGGGGTGGGCATGGGGATAATTCTGCGCTGGAAAGACCCACGTTGCAAAGATGATGCAGGTTTTCCCGTGCACCACCTCTCCGTCCCATCCATGGCTCCATGCCATTCCCGGTGCCAGCCCAACCTCCCAGCAGCAAGAAGAGCCACCCCAATGGCAAAGCCACTGTGCCAAGCAGCGGAGCAACCAAACCAACCCCAACCCTCCCCCAAATCCCTGACCCACACACCAATCCCGGATTAACTGCCGGGCTCCCGGCGGCTTCCCCTTCCCCATGTGGCTGGGTGTCCCCATCCCACCTCGGGGAGCCGGGCCACGCATGGGAACGGTGCTGGGGTTTGCGGTTCCCGGCCCGGGGCCGTGATTGACACGTTGCTCAACCCACCATGCCTTTCCGGTTCCCCTTTCCGCACCCCCGCGGCTCTGCTCCGTGTTGTAAGCTCGCTGTAAGCTCCCCGTGTGGTTTGCTCCCCGTCTGGCCGTGCCCCGGGCTCGGCAGCCCCAGCTGCTGCCCCTTCCCCAGTCACCAGCCGTTCCTCTGCCGCCTCCTCCTCCCTTCTCGCTCTCCCCCCTCCACGTTCCCCAATGCTTCAGCAGGGAAAAGGCTCCAGCTGGGGTTTTGGTGGGGCTCCCTCCCCGCGGTGGCCCCAAAAGGATGAGGGGTCTTGCCAATCCCCTTGGCTTTCTTCGGCATCCCAGGATTTGGGAGATGGCAGCAGGTCCGACACCAGGGTGAAGAGCCCCCAGCACAAGAAAAGCATGGACCTGTTGGATTGAGTCCACAGGAGGCCACAGAGGTGCTTCAAGTGCTGGAGCCCCTCTGCTCTGGAGACAGGGCTGGGAGAGCTGGGGCTATTCAGCGTGGAGAACAGAAGGCTCCAGAGAGACCTTAGAGCCCCTTCCAGTGCCTAAAGGGGCTCCAAGAGAGCTGGAGAAGGACTTTGGACAAGGACCTGGAGGGACAGGACAAGGGGGAATGGCTTCCCACTGCCAGAAGGCAGGGTTGGGTGAGATATTAGGGACAAATTGCTCCCTGTGAGGGTGATGAGGTCCTGGCACAGGTTGCCCAGAGAAGCTGTGGCTGCCCCATCCCTGGAAGTGTCCAAGGCCAGGTTGGATGGGGCTTGGAGCAACCTGGTCTAGTGGAAAGTGTCCCTGCCTGTGGCAGGGGGTGGAATGAGATGCACTTTAAGGTCCCTTCCAACCCAAACCATTCCATGACTCCGTGATATGATGACCTATAGGATTTTCCCCCTCCTCCCATGGCTGTGCCCACCCTGTTATCCAGCTCTGCCCCTGCACCGGGCATCCAGCACCCCGTGGCCATGCTCCTCGCAGACCCCCGTGGGCCAAACCCCAAGGGGCTGCTCCCAGTTCATGGGACTCTCCAGGCAGGATTTGTGCACGAGAGACATGCCCGGCACCTCTGGCATCGACCCACGGGCAGCTCCCTCCTGCCTCAGTTTCCCCGCTGACAACCCCGGGGGCCGCAGCGCTCTGGGGTCAGCGGGAAAAGAGGTCCTGGATCCTGGGGGATGTCCCGAGCTCCGCTGCGTGTCCCCCCCGCCCGCCGGGGCTCCATCCGCGGGGCACCGCCGCCCTCTCGTGGGGACCCCCCGGCAGCACCGGGCACACGGCCGGGCCGGCCCCGCAGCGCCACGGGTCCCACCCGCGCCCCACAAAACACTGAGTGGTGCCTGTGACCCCAAAACACCCCGCTCCCCCCCTCCCCAGTGCCAGCGCTGAGCCCCTTTGGGTGCCACTCATCACTGCACGGTGCAAACTGGTGCAAATCCAGCATTGCTTCTCTCTGCTCTGTCCCACACCAGGAGAAGCCTGTGGGTGTCCCATCTGCACCTTCCCAGCCCCTGCTCCTCCAGGGTGGACCCCCAGCACTCCTGCCTGGGCACTCACCTCCAGCACGGGCTTGGCACCGTTGTAGACAGAGAGGATGTGGGTCACCCCATTCTTCAGTAGGTTTTCGTGGTCCTCAGAGTCTGGAAGCAGGAGCCACATGCCCTCCTGGGAGATCTGCTGGACCACACACCCACCAACAACCCACACCCGTCACTCCCAGCCCCCTGACCCTCACTCCAGCCCTTCCCGCTGCCTCTCACCCCACACGGTGCAGGGAAGGAGACTGGGCACCTTCTTCCAAGCAAAATCCCCCTTGGAAGTGCTGGGTACTCAGGAGGCTCCTAAAGTCACCCTCAAAACCAGAAATTGTACTGATAACTTGTCGAAGGCTGTGGTGTCCTCACTGTTGAGCAGGTTTCCAGCCATGCCAAGGACTGCTCGGTGTTCCAGCATGGTTAGTGACAGCAGCTCCCTATGGACATCCCTTTCCTGGGCTAGAGTTGCATTGGATCAGTTGCAATTGGGATGGAGATTTTTGGGGGCTTTGGATCTCTGGAAGATGCTGAGGAGCAGACACAGGGAGCCCCTGAGGAGAGGGAATCCTCTAGCCCTGCCAGCTAACTCAGGGACCCCACAGCACTGCAGAGGTGGGACAGGGAAAGGCACTTACCACGGATATTCCCGAGGTAGAGGCCTGTGACAACCTGGGAGGTGACAAAAAGGAGAGTTCAGACAGTACAAGGTGCATCCAATGTGGTGGAAGCACATGTGGTTCCAGCAGGACCAGGAAATCTGGCACCAACCTCCTCAGGCCATGACAAACCAAGCAGCTAAACTACAAAGCACCTTAATTAACAATGAGGGAAGGCTGAGCCCACTCAAACCACCAGCCTAAACCCCTCCAGGAGTGCAGAGCTCAGGAAAACTCAGCACAGAAACAGAAGGGACTTGGATGAGATCCTACAGAGTTTCAAAGGTTGCATCTGCCAGCTGGAGATAGATGGGCACAGGCTATTTATAACACTTTTCTGGCCAGGATGTTGCAGTAAGAGACATCAAGGCTGCAAATTTGGTCTCCAACTCACTGCTGTGGGGTTATGAAGGAGAAAAAGGGGCAGCTCAGGGTATTTATGGGGTGTAAGAACCCACTAGAGTGCTTTTCAGGGAGACAAAGAAGAGAAAGCTGATTAGCAGCTGGACTTGTTGGTGCTCATCTGGCAGAAAACCCCTGGTTTGAGAAGTTTTAGGAAGGGTTTTCAGCAGCACTGGGTCACATCCAGCCCAGCTCTATCATTCAGCTGAATCCCAGCCTGTTCCTGAGTGCAAACACCTGGATCCAGCACAACTTGTACAGCACCAGCTGCTACCACTAGAAAGGGGACGCCAAGCCCTGCATATTATCAAGTCCAAAGTGGGATCCTACGAAAGTGTGCACAAATAGCTCCTGGCAGCAATAGCCCAGGATCCCCAAGATGGTTTGGTAGCACCAGGGGGGCTTTAAAACCCACTTTGCTGGTCAGGCTGTGTCTACAGGCGGTGAAACCCAGGTCTAAACCACACCAGAGCCATGCAGAGTTTGCCCTGATTTGATCTTTCTGTTGTTGTCCCAGAGTCTAATTTTAAACTGGAGAATGCACATACCAGGAAGTTATTTCAGGATACCAACAGAAATTGATCCTCTCTGCCAGCCCTGGAGGAACAGGCAGCAGTGAAACCCCACTTCCCACATCACTGCCGGGCACAGACACATCCTGGGGGTGGTAAGGGGGGAATTTCCCTGCAGGGACCCCCCTGTCAGCCCTAAGAATGAGAATGCCATGGCTTTACCTCCCAAGGGATGAGCATTTAACACCAGCTGTCACTCTCCTGACACCTGCAGACACTTTGCTCCTCACCTCCGACATAAACCTTGGATATAAATCACTATTTGTTTTCTCAATTTCTTTCTTAAGTACTTGGAGTTTCAAAGCGGAGTGAGAAAGGGAAGATGCAAATAGTTGTGTTTATGGAATCGTGGTGGCCTGGGAGGAGTATCCACGGGCTGCAGGAGAAGAGGACATGCTGACCAGCATCCCACTGCCCCCAGTACCTTGCTCATTCCATTCCCCATGGGTTTCTCTCCCCAGGATCAGGATTCAGGCAGTTTCTTGGTCTCCAAGGCTACCTGCAAATAAACACCAAAAAATCCCAGACAGGATGGTGAGATCTGACCCTCTCCTCAGTGTGTCCCTCTGCCCAGGAGGAAAGGGAACATGTGCCAGGAGTGGAACATGCAGAGCCCTGGCAATCTCAGCTCACCTTCAGGCTGCTCCCGCAGGTCCTGCCGCTGCACCAGGGAAGGGAACAGAGAAGAGTGGCTGGTGCCAGGCAGGGGAGGGTGAAATAAGGATCTGGGGCTGTGGTGAGGCTCAGGTTTCCCTCCCAGACTCCCTGGAGCTTCTACAGCCTTTTGGGAAGGACAGTCCTGGGAGGAACGACTCCCTGGTCCCAGCAATGCTGCCCAGTATTCCTTCTGGGATGCTTCAGGCTGGCACAAGCCCTGCATTCAGTGGGATTTCTCTTCCAGTTATGCCAATTGCTCCCGGTCACAGGGATGAGCAGAATTCAGAATAAGGCCTGGAAAACCAGAGTGTGGCACGAGCAATGTGCAGCTGATGGAACACTTTGGATGAGCCCATCTTCCCTTCCCTCTGGGAACAGGGATGAGAAGAGCTGTAAAGCAACACTGCAACTCCAGCATATGCTTCAAAACATCTATTTTCCAGGCAGTAACACCTGGCAGTTCACTGTCCCCCTCCCACATCTGTGCCACCAGCCTGCCAGAGGCAGCTGTGTGGAGAGCAGGGAAGAGCAAATCACAGGCACAGCAAACACTCCTGCAGCCATCACCAGCCTGGGATTCTGTCACCTCGGACCACCCCTCTCAGCACCCCAGAGACAAATTTATCACCTAAGGGATTTTTCAGGTGTAAGAAGGGGAGCTCATTGCTTAACTCCAACCAGTTTATCACACCTTAAAAACCTTCCCCAGATTTCTGAGTGGAAGGAAAAGGCTGGCCAAGAAGTGGCTGAGACCCCACACAGCTCCTAAACACATTCACAGACTTAAAACCACATCAGGTTTCCTGATGGAGGCTTCCAGTCATCGGGAAAAGAGCAAAGTGAAGGCAAAGCTTGCTTTAGTCTTCAGAGGGGAGTTTTTAAACCAAGAACCTGCACAATCCAGGGGACACCAGCTTAGCTGAAGGGAGAAATTTGGCAGCAGCTTTCTTAGCCCTGAAAACATCAAGCCAGGAACTTTGCTCAGACCACAGTGTTTAATAAAACCTCTGAAGTGGTCCCACCCCAACAAACACATCCAGAAACCAGTAACAGGCAACTCTCAAGTTAACCAGACATTTATTAGCATTTCTGTAGGTGGAGAGGGTGTTCCAGTACACAAGCAACGAGGTCACGCACAGGTGATGGAATCGTTTCATATTCAAGCAGAGCAGGTTCCACTGAGTTGCTTTATTTCTTCCATTCGTTCTTGTCAAAATCCCACTGGGCTGAGATGCCCTCCACGGGGTTAACCCTCATGTCCAACATCCTCTTGGTCTGCGCCGACAGCCACTCCTCGGAGAAGGTGTGCGGGATGGGGCCGTACACTGCAGGGTGGGATTGGATGGAATTATATTGTGATGCCAAATCAGCAAGTTGGGAACCGAGGGACAAATGTCACTAACAAAAAGTTTTTTTTCCCCTGAAGTCATCCCACTGGAGCAGGTTGCCCAGAGAAGCTGTGGCTGCCCCATCCCTGGAAGTGTCCAAGGCCAGGCTGGATGGGGTTTGGAGCAACCTGATCTAGTGGAAGGTGTCCCTGCCCATGGCAGGGGGTGGAACTGGATGCACTTTATGGTCCCTCCCAACCCAAACCATTCCATGATTCTCTGATCTGTTCAAACCTACGCTCCTTACATCCAGTTTCTGGTGCATCCAGCTCAGACCACATTCCCACACAGATTCTCTAGCGGTTTCCTTCATCAGTAAAGGCTTGTACAAGATAACAGCTTCCTGCTTTCCGTTTCTTGGGAGCCTCAAGGCAGGGAGCAGCTCCTTTAACTGCTGCTCTGCCTCACGGCAGCTGGAGGCTCCCTCGAGGTCAGATCCTGAGCTGGGAAAGCAGCCAAACATGGCAGAAACCCAAATGCTCACTACCAAGGCAGCAATAAGCTTTTCCGACAGCAGAGAGGGGAAGCTCTGGGATCAGGAGTATCACCACTCATTCCCCTCCATTTCCTCTCCTCCCAAAGCTCCACTACCTTTCCATGACTTAGCTTCCTGAATATTTATGCAACAAACCCACTGACTCCATAAACTTACAACTCCAGGACAGTTTTCAGGGACTTACAAACAGCTCCTGCTGGGAGGTCACAGTTATGGCTCTTCCACACACCATCCTGACCCCACAAAGAAGCTTATGGGAATTCTCTAATGTTCCATTAGGGATCATAAACTGATCCAGCTCTCCACTAAAGGGTTACTTACTGAAGTTCTTCTGCCAGATGAGGATGACACCAGTGAGGCCGAGGAAGAAAAACACTGCACCCAGGACAGTCTTCCACTCGTTTGTTCCTTTGTTCATCTCTGCATAGGTCTCGTTGAATTTCATACGATACACTGCCAAAAAAAGCCAAAATATCATCTCTTGTAACTTTTCCTGTGTTTTGCAGGTGACAGGGAACCCTCCAGAGGGAGGTGACCGAGGCCTGAGGCTGCCCAAAAGGAGGTGGATGTTGAATTAGGCTCGGAATCAGCTGCCCTCTCCCACAGCAAGACCAATGAGTTGGGTTTCACCCTCCCCACCTGTTCCCACCCCCACATCAATGTGAAGTCTTCATTTTATAGACTATCATAAAGTTGTGCAAAAGTTGCAGAATAGACCTGAAAGGAGGAGAAATTGAGCTCTCCTTCCTCCTCTCCAATTCCCAGTTATCCCAGAACTTCCTAGCACAAATAATTCCAACAGGAATGTTTCTATCTCAAAAACCTTCCCCACTCTGCCACTAAGGATTTTAAAACCCAAAGCAATATAAGATTTGGAGAGTGCTTAGGAACATCTGAGCAGTTCCTCAAAGGGTTTTAAACCTTTGACACCTGTTCACAGACCAGGTTCTCACTTCATACCACGGCAGCAGTTAGAAAAAATGAGGCAGTTTTATTTGCAAGTCAAAACACCCACTCAGGGCTTTAATTAGCTGGAATTTGGTTAATGTAAAAGTCAGTGGTCATTAACATTCAAATACATATCTGAGCTGAGGGGCTCATTTCCCTCAGCTGGACTAACAATGGCATATTGTAATGAAGAGATTTTGTCTGGCTTGTTGAAAGCAGATGGGAATCAAGAAACAAATACAATTACTATTTGTTTTCTGGAAGAGGAACTGCTGGATGTGACCTCAGGTCCAGAACAGACATCACAGCAAGTGCATTTCATGTTCTGAAACAGCACCAAGGACCTTGGGAACACAAACCACAGCCACCAACATGATCAGAGGGATGAAGCACCTCTTCTTCAAGGAAAGGCTCAAAGAATTGGGATTGTTCGGCTTGGAAGCAAAGGGTTAGGGGTGATCTAATTGTGGCTTCCCAGTGCGTGAAGGGACTACAAGAAACATGGATGGGCACTTTGGACAAAGGCCTGGAGGGACAGGACAAGGGGGAATGACTTCCAACGTCAGAGAGCAGGGTTAGATGTGATATTGGGAGAAATTCTTCCCTGTGAGGGTGGTGAGGCCCTGGCACAGGTTGCCCAGAAAAGCTGTGGCTGCCCCATCCCTGGGAGTGTGCAAGGCCAGGCTGGACAGGGCTTGGAACAACCTGGTCTACTGGAAGGTGTCCCTGTCCATGGCAGGGTTGGGACAAGAAGAACTTTAAGGTCCCTTCCAGCCCAAACCATTCCATGATTCCATGACAGTGAACATGCAGCAGAGGAGATTGTGTCGTTGCCACTGTCAGGTCACTTAGAGCCCCCCAAACCTACGTTCCACTTTCTCATCAATGGACAGGGCGGTCCACGAGGCCTTTTCCTTCTCCTTCAGTGCCTTCTGCTGCGCTGAGAGGTCCCTCACGAAGGCCACCTCAGGCAGGGGCACGTCCCGACGGTCCACATAGGCTGGGAGGGTGAAATCCTCTGCTTTTGCAACACCAGCTGGGGGGGGTAAGAGAGAAGAGACACCAATCAAACTCCTGCACAACACCTCTTACGGGTTACAACACAAAAACCCAACAGCTCAGACAAAAAGGTGAGGCCAGTTAAGGAATCCAGATGAAGCACTTAAAATGGGAGCTATTTTAAGAGCATAAGAACAGAATCACAGACTGCTTTGGGCTGGAAGGGACCTTAAAGCCCATCCAGTTCCAAAACCCAGCCATGGGCAGAGAAACCTTCCACTAGCCCAGGTTGCTCCAAGCCCTGTCCAACCTGGCCTTGGACATGTCCAGGGATGGGGCAGCCACAGCTTCTCTGGGCAACCTGTGCCAGGGCCTCACCACCCTCACAGGGAAGGATTCCTTCCCAATATCCCATCTAATACCAGGAGAAATTTCTTCCTAGAAAGGGCTGCCAGGCCTTGGAAGGGGCTGCCCAGGGAGGTGGTGGAATCTCCATCCCTAGAGGTGTCCAAGGAAGGCCTGGACATGGCACTCAGTGCTCTGGGCTGGGTGACAAGGTGAGGATCGGTCACAGGTTGGACTCGATGATCCCAGAGCCCTTTTCTACTCCCAATGATTCCTTGATTCTGTGATTCCTGCTGCCTCCCCAGCAGCACTTCTGCACTGCCAGCCATGGCACTGCCCACTCCCATCTCCTGTTCCAGCCTCCCCAATCCCCCTCCTCCCCAGTCCTGCCTTTTCCCAGACCCCCAGAGCAGCTGTTTGTGCCCCTGCTCTGCAGGACTGGGTTTGCTGCCCTCACCATCCCCAGGACAGTGTCACCCACCGTGTCCATGAGCTCTCAGGCACAGGGAGGTGCAGATGGACCTCCTCCCAACAAGGCTGAAGGCTCTGGAAGCCAACATCCTGCAGCAAGAAGAGCACCAGGTCAGGCGCAGACAGGGCAATGGACCAAGGGGAAATAACAACATTTTCCAATAGTTTATATACAAAAATAGCTGGCCTAGGGGCTTCCTGCCCCTTCTCCAAAGAGCAGCACAGCACTCTATGGTTTTCAGGGACATTCCCCCACTATAAGATGAGCCTTTCCGTCCTTGTTGCTTCCCAGAGCTTCCTGCACTCAAATCCGAAGTTATTTCCTTGTTTCCAGGGATATTCCCCCACGTAATTTACTTGGATGAGTCTTTCTCTCCCTGCACTCGAACCCAAGGACACTCCCTTGTCCA